TCTGCTCTAGTTCATTATGTTATGATCAGCAAATTTCCCTTTCTGGATTTATAACTGAAACTGAATTAAAATAAATACGAAATTTATAAATTCGTAAATATATACAATAATAAATTTTAACAAATAATAATAAATATAAATTTGAAGAAATAAATAAATAAATAAAATACAATTGACGACATTAAAAAAATAAATTTTATTCAAATAACCAATGACTTGTCTGTTATCAAATAAATATTTACTTGAATCAAATAATTTTTTCCCAGTGTAATAAATTATCCATTGATAAAATTATTTTTAAATATTTACGAATTTAATTCTGTATGTTATTTAATGTAAAAAAAAATTGTATTTGATTTAAATATTCAATTACTTGTCTATTATCAAATAAATATTTACTTGAATCAAATAAATTTTCATTTAATTTAACTAAATGATCTATGCTTCAATTACTGACATTATTGCTTCAAATAAGATTTATTTGATTTAAATAAAAATTAATTGATTCGAATAAAAATCAACTAATTCAAATAAAAATTAATTGATTAAAGTAAATATTTATTATCAAATAAATATTTACTTGAATCAAATAAATTTTTATTTAATTCAATATATTTGCTTCAATTACTGACATTATTGGTTCAAATTTATTTGTTTTATTTATTATTTATTTAATTTATTTGTTTCAAATAAAAATTAATTGATTCAAATAAAAATTAATTGTTTCAAATAAAAATGAATTTATTCAAGTAAATATTTATTTGATAATCAATATTTACTTGAATCAAATAAATTATTTTTCAGTGCAAATGGAATTATTTTTAAATATTTAAGAATTTAATTCTGTATTTTATTTAATGTAAAAGAATTTATTTGATTCAAATATTCGATTACTTGTCTATTATCAAATAAATATTTACTTGAATAAAACAATTTTTATTTTATTTAATTAAAATAATGATATTTGCTTCAATTCCTGATATTTTTGGTTCAAATCATATTGATTTGAAAATAAATATCATGATATTTATTTTTCAAATAAAAATCATGATATTGATTTGAAAATAAATATCATGATATTTATTTTTCAAATAAAAATTAATTGATTCCAATAAAAATCAACTGATTCAAATAATTTTTATTTAATCCAATTAAATGATATTTGCTTCAAATAAAAATTAATTGATCCAAAAAAAAAAATAAATTGATTCAAGTACCTAAATATTTATTTGATAATAGACAAATAATCGATTATTTGAATCAAATACATTTTGTTTTCAGTGTAAATTATAATATTTATAAATAGTCTGTAACAGTATTTTTCATAAAAATATAATAAAAATCAAAAACAAAAAAGAAATTTTGTTGAGAGCTGATGCGGAATAATTGAACAATCAATAGAAAATAAGAGGATTTGATAATAAAAATGAAACGAAGATTAGAGATAAAGGAGGAAAAAAGTTTAATCGGCTGAGTGAAGAAAGCGAATTGAGAAATAAATTCGAGTAATAAAATAATTACACGAAATTCCAAAGAAAGAAGAACATTTATTTTTGAGTATCAGATAAACTCTCACTAAACGATTAATTCCAAGTTTGCAGAGAAAATTTTAAAATTGCTGAATAAAATTTTTCCACCAAATGGAAATCATTATTGTCCTCCATTTTGTATCATCGAAAAATAATTTATTTGATTCAATTTTTAATTTATTTTCAATTTTTTTAACTGTTACCAAACAAAATATCAAACAAAATATCCTCTTTGATAAAACAAACAATTTATTTGATAATAATTGATAAATAATCCAAAATTAATTTTTAATCAATTTGTTTATTTGAAAAAAAAATAATTTAATTACTAAATTTAATTAATTAATTAAAACAATCACTTCTACAAAATAATATAATTTATTCGATAATATACAAGGAATCAAATATTAATTATTAATTCATTAATTTTTTTTTTGTTTATTTAAATCCAAAAATTAAAAAAATAAGGAATTAATGCTTAACATTTTACGGTTAATTAAGAATTAATTGTCAGTTATCAACAATTATCAATTAATAATTGATTACTGTTGATTAATGTTAATAATGAATTCTTTAATTATGTTTTATTTTTTAGTTTAAATAAAGAAAAACAATAATTATATTAAATTAATATTAATATTGGATTACATACTTACGTATTATCGAATAAATTACTTATTTTGTCAAAAAGATTATTTTAATTAATTAAATTAACTGTTTTTGTTTCGAATAATAAAAAAATTAATTAAAAATTAATATTTGATTATTTATTAATGATCAAATAAATTATTTATTTTATTTATTGTTGATTAATGTGAATAATGAATTCCGTAATTATATTTTATTTTCAAGTTCAAATAATGAAAAACAATCATTAATATTTGATTACTTACGTATTATTAATTATATTATTAATTACATTAATTATTAATTTTGATTCAGATAATTCCATTAAAAAATTTTAATTTTGAAAAGTTGAATTTAGATAAATAGATAATGTAATCTAATAAATAATTTAATTAATTTATTTTAATTAATTGAATCAGATTAATTTTTTTAGAATGAACAAATATTTATAGAGAGAAAACAAATTGTTTTTCCAATAGTTGCAAAACGTTTGTCTTGAATTGATAAAAACACTTGTTTCTGTGAAAGACAACAAGATAATCGACACGTTGGACATTGGAGACGAAGTTTCGATTTGCTTCCAGGAGTTGTCTGCGAGCTTGAAAGTTAGCTGAGGATCCTGGTGGCTTAACCTTCCATTAGCAGGGTTCAACTTGACGAGGTGCGCACGCTAAACCCGGGATTAAGTGACAGCATTATCCAATATAGATATATAGCAAATCTGTATTCATCCATACATGTATACAGTACCGTCCGCAATTGTCAGTCCACCCATTTTTAAAGGAATGACAAAAATTTTTTAACATAAAATTCATGAAAACTAAAATTTTTTTTGGTTTATATTTTGAAAGACGATAAAATTTTGAAAAGAATAAGACCTTACAGAAGTCATTTGGCCAAAATTTGTAGAAGATATTCCTAAAAATCGTCATTTTCAATGTTTTACAAAAATTTAAATAACTTCTAAAATAATGAACGCTTTTTAATAATCTTAGGCTTATTTTAAAGGTCTTTTTCTACAGAATAAGAATTACTTATAGGCATTAACCTGTCATTTTTAACTTGGAATAAGCATGACGTCAAAATTAGACAAAAAAATTGGAAAAATTTGAAATCAATTTTTTGTACTAAAAACTATTCTAGAACATATATAAAACATGATATGGTGTAGATTTTTCAAGAAAATTTAATAAAAATATATGTTTGAGTTTCAAAAATTATTTTTCTTTTAATAATATTATTTCAAATTTTTTGAATTTTTTTGTCCAACTTTGACGTCATGCTTACTCCAAGTTAAAAATTACAGGTTAATGCCTATAAGTAATTCTTATTCTGTAGAAAATGGTCTTTAAAATAAGCCTAAGATTATTAAAAAGCGTTCATTATTTTAGAAGTTATTCAAATTTTTGTAAAACATTGAAAATGACGATTTTTAAGAATATCTTCTACAAATTTTGGCCAAATGACTTCTGTAAGGTCTTATTCTTTTTAAAATTTTATCGTCTTTCAAAATAAAAACCAAAAAAAATTTTACTTTTTATGAATTTTATGTTAAAAAATTTTTGTCATTCCTTTGAAAATGGGTGGACTGACAATTTCGGACGGTACTGTACACCTAATGCCAGACGTCTCTATTACAACATTCCTTTGCCTCCTGCGATTTCAAGGGGGGCAGCACTTTTGAAATTGGGCCCCAAGTCTTTTTTTTCCAAACAAACGTTGAGAATGTCACCCTTCTCTCTTTCTCCCTCTCTCTTTGTCTCTGACAACCTTCTCTCGTCGACTTTAATGTTAAAGTACTCCGGGAACAAGTCGTTCGGCAAATATTTTAATTCCCTCTCAAAAGATTTTCAACTCGAATTGCTTCTAGATTCCCCTTAAATTCTACTACGGTTCGCCTAAAGAAATAATGAGTGAGCGATTATAAAAATCTGACTATGTACATTCAACTTTCAGTTTTTTAGATTAAAATCTTTTTATTGGTTTTTACTTTTTTCACTTTAACTATTTATACAAAGTCTGATAAAATTTAATTTTAAAAGACAATAGTACAAAAGTTTTTATTAACTAAATCTTTTCAGTTTAGAGAAAAAGGTCATTTAATATTAACGCTCGTAAGCTTTAATAAAATATATTTAATACTTGTTAATTTATTTGAAATATTTAACTTAATATTCAAAGTTATTTAATTTAATTCAATATTATTAAATATTTAATATCAAGAAATTTAATTTTCAATACTAATAAATTTAATATTCAACGTTAATAAATTTAATTTTCAATATCAATAAATTTAATAATCAATATTAATAAATTTGAAATTAACAATAAATTAATAATAAAATTAAAATATTTTTAATTCGACAATTTTAAAAAAGAATTCAGTTTTGAAATATAACGAAATTAAATTGCAATATTAATTACAGTTTTCATATTGTAATTGTGATTGGCAAATTAAACTCTAGGAAAACTATCAGTAGACAATTTGGATGGTGTTAACCGAGAAGGGATGTTTGACATTTTGAATTGAGGCGGAAGGGTTTGTACTATGTTTCTAACATGAAGTACAGGAAATCCTCCACCCTATACCGCCCATATCCTGTAGGATACTTTGACAGCTATCACCAAAACGTGTCTACACCTCACACCTTCATGAATTCCGCGCTTGTCAAAGTAAAGGAGATACACGAGAGAGAAATCTCTAAAATTCGAGAATTCTTCTTGTGTGAAATAACATTTATTTTTTACTCTTATATCTTTCCTATTATCATTTTTTTTAAATTAGATTTTTCTAATAAAATATTGTTTCAAAAGTTTGATGAAAAAATATTAAAAATCACTCACCAGAAATAAATTTCTCCTTCTTTTCAAATTGTTGGAAAAATATCCATTTCGAGTCATTTTTAGTCTCCAGAGATTCCATCCCTCTTGAATAAAGACAGTATTTGCAATTTTCGCATTATATTATTTCAGGAATCTCTCCCCTCAACGCCAACTGAAAATGTACAAAAATTATATTAACTTCTTTTTAATTTAAAAAAATTTACAGAAATTTACTGTATGAAATTCAATGATTAATATAAAAAAAATAAATAAAAACCACTTAGATTCATTGTAAATTTTGTTAAATTATCAATTTTTTTCGGAATTAAATGAATGAATAAAAGAAAGATCTTTTTTACTATCAAATGCTCAGCAATTGGCAACACTAATATAGTAGTAATTGAGCAATATTCAAATAAGAGAATTTTTAATACATTTTCCTACATTTTTGAAAGTTTAAATGAACGGAATATTTTTCTACGCTTAAAAATTTTTTTAAAATTACTCGACAGAAACGAAAACTATTTTAATTGAACATTAATTTAATTAAAAATTAATTTTGTAATTATAGAAGACAATATTTTTCTATGCTTCAATATTTTTAAAAATTATTCAAAAGAAACGAAAACTATTTTATTTATTAAATAAATATTCAATTAAAAATTAATTTTGTAATTATAGAAGACAATATTTTTCTATGTTTCAATATTTTAAAAAAATTACTCGCAGAAACGAAAACTAATTTAATTAAACATTTATTTTATTAAAAATTAATTCTGTAATTATAGAAAACAATATTTTGTACCTAAATAAAATTCAAAGTAAAAGAAGTAATAAAAATATTGTCGAAATAAGGTTCGAAACTTTAGAGACAATAAAGTACAAAAATTTTAATTAATACATACTTATAATTATAATTCGTATAATAAATAATAAAAAAGTAAAATAAAATAAAGAAATAGATAAAAAATTAATAGCTTAGTACCTGATCTAACAAAGATTATTTCCTCATAGTGATGGCAGTACATCCTCTGGACAAACACTATGGGAGATCACATAGAATAGGCTACGAGACGAGGAGCAAATGCTTTCGTCCTCCTCCTTCTCTCTGTCCTTTAAATCCTCTCGAACTATCTGAAAAAATATTAATTAATTAATATTAAAATTAATATTAAAATATTCATTAATACATAAAAATATTTGTAATCGATAAATAACTGATCTTTGAATATAATTATTTACAAATATTTATTATCCACAAATTTTAAACATTCAAATGAATTAAATATTTTTTAATAAACAAATTTTCAAAAATTACTGATTGCAATAAAAGTTAAAAAATTAGTTTATATTTAAAAGATTTATAATTAACTTCTTTTGATAGAGACGCAAAATTATTGTAATAAAAACTTAATTTAAAGAGGAATGGAAAAAATTTCATTCATTTAAACGTTCAGAACTTTCGAATCATAAATATTTCCTAATATAATTATGCGCATATTAGTCAAATGAAAAAAATTAAAAGAAATTACCAAAAATAATTGAAATTATTAATAGTTTCAATGTTTATTTTAAAATAATTTGAAAATTTTATTCAAAATACTTGAAGTGAAACAAAACCTCATCAATTATTAAAAATTAAATGGAAAACGAATAAACACTAAACTTTTATTACAATAAAAATTATATGGTAAAATAACCAGGGTGGCCGCAAGATTGACTTTATAAATTTCCCTGACATTTTACTGACATAACAACGAATTTCCCTGACAAAAATTTTTTTGTTTAGAGCAAAAAATTTATTGCATAACCGTCTTAATTTCTTTAATTGCGCTGACAAAAAAATTTTCCTGACATTTCCCTGACTTTACTGACAAAAAATTTTTTTTCCTGACATTTCCCTTCTTCTTTAATTGCCCTGACAAAAAAATTTTTCCTGACATTTCCCTGACTTTACTGACAAAAAATTTTTTTCCTGACATTTCCCTGACTTTACTGACAAAATATTTTTTTCCCTGACATTTCCCTGACTTTACTGACATGTGGCCACCCTGATTAATTAAAATAAACTGCGTGAATTTTTCACTCATCCCAACTAAATTAAATTTAAATCACCCATTTTTAAATTTTAATGAAAAAGTACACTTTTGTTTTATACGAAGAGAATGAAAAGCATTGATGAAAATGTCGAAAAAAATACTGAAAAGAGTTAATTATTGATTGAAATAATTAATAAAAGCAAAATTATTTCGGAATTATATAGAAATCGCTAGTAACGATAACAAAATTATTAAAAAGTACCTAGATTAAACATTTTTTTTGGAAATAAATAAATTTTCTCACCATTAGTTGCCCGGCTTTGTGTCACCCGACTGATGTCCAGTAATTAGCACCGTAAAAATTATTGCGCCAGGAATTTGCAACAAGTAATATTTCACTTACAAATATTAGAGCGTATCTCATTTTTTCTCCTTGTATTGAAACGGCGAAGATGAAGATTCTTTTTTAGCGCCTGAAAGTAAAAGTTACATTTCTTTCAAATTTGAGGTTATGTTGTCATTGAACTGAATCATTAGTTATACCAGTACATTTATCAAAAGAATAATCAAGAACACTTTATGTTCAGAGAAAAAATAATAGCACTTTAAACATAAAGACAAATAATTCAGAAAATATTTTGATTGTTACACTTTAAAACAATAATAAAATCCATAAAATCACTGTCAAATGACTTCCGCGCAACAGTACATACGCATGTATAAATTTCAACGCACCCCATTGGTTCGCAGTAGGCAAGAGCAGCGCGGCGGTGTCGAGAATTCAAACTACTATGACTTACCGACTGTCGATAAATTATTTCCAAAATTTAACAATTAACAAATAAATAAAAAATAATTATATTACAATTTATATATAAATAAATTCTAGTTAGCTACTAAGAATAAAAGTTAAAATTCATAAAAATGCAGGTTATGTTAACCTTGAAGAGCAATAATTAAATTCTGCATAATAAACAAAAATATTTTACCCTGATTCTTTTGCTGAAATATTATTTATTGCTTTAATCAACTAACTTAGTTATTAACTATACAAAAATATTTTACCTGATTCTTTTGCAAAGAACACAAGAATGAAGGAACTCCTAAACTTTCTTCCTTTAGCACTTTCACTTGATGTATGACTTAATTTATTACGTCAAGAAGAATGCAACGCAAATTAATTAAAATAAAGAAGTAAATTATTCAAAATAATAATAATAAACACACACAATATTCTATGATGCGATTAGATATGATCAACAATAATACAAATTTTTGTTGAAACCGTTGAAACTCTTGTGGACAAAGTGCGCCAGTAAAATGGCGTTCTTTTCCGTGCTTTCAGTCGTGTAGACCCCACCACACCCTTTGAGTCACTGGCCAATCAGCGTTGACATTTTCATTTATAATGTTGGCAACACTGATTTGGCGGTAATTATTTAATATTCAAATCAGACAATTGTTAAATGTATGTACATAATTTTACTTTCTTTCGAAAAATTTTCACTATTTTTAAATAATCTCTAATAAATAAATTTTTATTATTTATAAATATTTATTATTATTAATTATTATTATTCAAACCTACTAAAAATTTAATTTGAATATTTTTTTATTACTTTACGTAAATTAAATTTATAAAATTTACTTTTTCTCTATTACTATTTATTATTATTTTCTTGTTATTATTAATATTATGATTATTTTTATTATTATTATTGAAAATTTACTAAAAATTAAATTTGAATATTTTTTTATTGCATTACGTAAATTAAATTTATAAAATTAATAATTTTTTATGAGGTATTTATTTATTATTAATTTATTTATCAATTATTATTAACTATCATTTATACTTACTAAAAATTTAATTTGATTTTTTTTATTATATTACATAAATTAAGTTTACAAAATTAATTGTTTTTAAAAATTATTTTACCACAATTTATAAACATTAAAATTTATAAATTTATATATCTTATTATTTAAATAAATAATTTTAAATTTATTTTAAGTTTTAATTATGGGAGTATAGCAACAAATAGTTTTAATTTTTTAAATAATTGAAAACAATTTAATTAATAAATAACTAAATATTCATTTTTCGTTTTAAAATAAAAAAATTTAGAATAAATTGTTATTCAATAGAAATCTATAAAATTAATTGCTAATAATAATAATTATTATTATATTATTATTTTAGGCAGGAAAAAAATTGTTTTTAATTCTATTTTTCTACATGTTTAAATTTAAAGTACTGATAATTATAATTTTCAAAAGGTCCACTATAAAATAAAAAGGAAAAATTGATCTTTTTTTAAAAATAGAATTAATCCCTTCTTTTGTGGATCATAATAGATTTAAATTGCAGAATTAAAAATTCCTCACCTTAGGGGATTCATTCGTCAACGTCGAAGAAAATGCAGCATTAGATTTTTAGTACATAGTGTGTCCCTTGAGATCGCTTCTCATGTTTGAAGTCCAGGGATTCAGGGACCTTTTAAATCGCCCGTCTTTGGAACACCAAGCTGAAAAATTTAAAATTTATTTTGATCGTTTTCAAATATTGAAAAAAAAATTTTAATAAAATTAAATAAAATTAATTAGTAACTAATTAAAGAAATTAAATCATGAATTATTAATTAATTATATACAATAAATTTAAAATTTGAAACAAAAATCATTAATATTGATAAATGCAAATATAAAATTTCATAGTTACATAATGTAATTTAGTGCCATATTTAAAGAATAATAAAATATAAAATTAAAAAATAAAATAAAGAACTGACCAAATAAAAGCGATAAAAATAATAAATAATAAAAAGTGCAAATAAAATAAAAATGTTTCCGATTTTCGGAAAATATTCTATAGGAATAATCCTCTTACATTTCCATGCTTTGTCGGTTTTTATAAAAAGCAATTCTGATCGCAGTTTCCGTTCTATTAACGTTTATTTAGAGAAGTGCATGTTCTTGACACTTGGAATCGACTCAAGTTATTGAATCTAAATGTGTATTTCTCGTATAATTATCTTTCTGTTATAAGAAAAAAATTTCTATTTTCCTCATTCTGAAAAATAAAAATAAATTAAAAATATAATATCAACAATTATTGAATGGAAAAATGATGTAGAATTAACTAAAACAAAATATTTTTCTTAAAAGAGAGCGACATGAACTATTTTCTAAATTGAGGTATTAAATTATTTCTCTTAATAAATTAAATATCTGAATAAATAAAAAACGCATGTAAGAGAAATAATATTTTTGAACCAATCTAAAAATGAAAATTATTTTACATTATTATCAATTTTCAAATGTTATTCTATTAATAGCATTCCATTACTAATAGCATTCCATTAATATTATTTTTATTTTTACAACGGCTCAAAAATATTAGTTGTTTTACGTACTTTTTTTATTTCAAAATGTTTAATAATTAATTTAAAAATTAAATTTAGAAAATTATTCATCTCATTGTCGGTCTCTTTAAAAATATATTTCATCTATCTTTTAAATATTTACTTTTAAAAAATGTTAAACAAATAATAGGATAAAATTAATTTAACGTTTTAAAAAATAATTTAACTGTCTTTTTGAAATTGATTAAAAATTATTCAGGAGAATATTGGAAATAGTTTTTAAAAAATATCGATGTAATCCTCATACACGTAAATATTTTCTCGATACTGTAATTCCCATGTCGAAGGTAGTTTTTCCATTCTTTAAACACATATTCAAGGATCGAAAATACACACTGAAATCGATTCTATCGAAACAAAATTTGAATACACATTTCTGGTATAATTCTTCGATTCTAAGAAATGTTTTTGGATTATCCTGGAAAAAGAAAAAAAGACTTAAAATCAAATTTACGATTTATTAAATAATTAACATGAAATTAATACTAAGAGACTGTTATTGAAAATAAATTAGAATTAAAATTTAATAAAAATTAGTTATTAAGATATTAATGCGTTTATAAACATTTAGTAATGTTCTTAAAAAATACTATTGAATTGATTTTCTTACATTCAGAAATTTAGTTTTTCTAAACAAACAATTTAAGAAAAAAAAAATTGTAAAATTCGTTACAAAAATAATTTAAGCGAAATTGACTAACAAATAGTAATATAAATAAAATACAAAGGAATAAGTGCAAAAAACATTAATAAAAGAAATTATGAATGATAAAATAATCAATATTAATAAATAATACTAAAACTATAAAACGAATAATTAATAATAGAATAATAAAGTAAATAATAAGTAATAATAAATAATAATAATAAATGAAAATAAAAAGAAAGTATTAATTAAAAATTCAAAAGAATAAGTGCAAAATAAATTGATAATAAATAATTAATAAGTTATTAATAATAAATAAAAAGTAATAAATAATTTTAAAAAGTAATAAAATTCTTTGATAATATTAATTAATAAAATATTACTTTTTTCAGGTGGAAGCTTGAAAATATAATTCCTTGTAAATAAAATTTCCTCCTGAATTTTGAAATAGAAGCAAAACCAGTTGCACAGATTTCTTCTAAATCAGTCTCAATCGATTCACTTTTTCGACAATTTCTGAAAACCAGAATAGAATATTAAAGTTACATCTGGGAATGATAAAATTAAATATGATACGGTTTTCACTATTTTTCTAGAACAAATGAATAAATATTAAAATTAATGAATTTAATTTCTAATATTAATTAAAAATTAATCAAATAATATTAATGAATTGAGACTAATTTATTGAATACAAAAAATTACTAAGAAAAATTTAAAACAAATACATACAAGCCAATTTTCCCCTTTTAAGGTTAGAATGCCATTAATTGCAGAAAACCGAAAATACTTAAAAACAATTAAAAAACAAATGAATTAAAATGTCCTTTAGTTCCAAAACTGTTGATTATTTTGAATAAATTATTACAGTAGAACACTCACCATTGTTTAAATTAGATCTCACTTTTTTAAAATCACATTAAAGAATACGATTGTAAACATTTTGAAAACAACACCTGTCAATTAATAAAATCGTTAAATTAATGACAAAATAACAATTAAATAAATGAAATTAATGTTTACGATTCTTACACATCAACATAACCTTAAAATAAAGACCGTGGTCTCATCGATGTAATTAAACGTGAACTTAAAGTGTATGTAAGCAATAATAATCCAGAAGTATTGTTAGTTATTACTGTACACCTTTAACTGTCTAAATTCATCTTATTTTTGTATATTTATAAATAATACTGTTCATAAATTATAAATTATTAGTTTCTAATTATTCTTTTATTGTTGACGTTTCGTTTTTTTACTATTTTACAAACTGTGTTGATCGACTGTCGGTAAGTCATTGTAGTTCGAATACTCGCCACCAGAGCGCTGCTAAGAAGCTGCCTCATTGGTCGACTGCGACAGCCAATCAGGTGAGTGCATATCTGAACGTGCGTATGTGCAGTGCGCGGAGCTCATTTGGCGGCGAGCATTCACCGGTGACGGTGGAAGTAGCTCGTTCCCCGGGACGTTGTTCCTTACGGAACTCCCCGGTGGAGAGGCTGCCAGGGGTCTTACCCCCCTCACCCCCTTGAGACAGGGGTTGTAGGGTGGTTTGAACTCCAGGGTGGGGTTGGAGGGGTGAGGCAGCTTTTGCTGTTCTTATCCATTCTAACCTCTCTTCTGTGCCTGGGGTCCTACTCCCCTCTCCTCCTTAGAACCTCGTGGATGTTCTAAGGGATCTCCTGGTGACGAGAGATCCTCCCGTGGTCCAGAGGAGGATGTTCTACCATCATTGAGAGGAAGTAATCTATGCTATATCAGGTGAGTAATTACTTTTTTGTACTTTGGCGATATTTTTTTACAGATCATCATGCACAGCTAATTCAGTCCCTCCCCCCTCTAAGATTTCAAGTAGTTTATAAACGAATCTTAATATTCTTTATAAGAAAAATAATTAGGTAAAATATTTTTGTAGTTAATGACCTTTTAGCTTAAAGTACCTGGATAATTTAATTTTTTTAATGACCCTTTAGATTATTAAAGTAATATTATTTGATTATACATATTGATTAAATTATTTTTTATCTAATCGGTAGAATTGAATAATTACTCTTTAAGTTCAACATTCATTTAGGCTATGACGAACACAAATATTTAAGAATTTTAACTTTTATTTTTTGCGCTAACGAAGAGTTTATTTGTGCAAATTGTAAAATAAATATTTTTTTTTCTTTTTTTGATGACAAATTGTTTTTTATTTAATTTCGAAGTAATTTATCGACGGTCGATAAGTCATAGTAATTTGAATACTCGACACCAGCGCGCTGCGATAATTTGTCAACAATTATTTAAAGTACAAAATAAAATAAACTGATAGGTGATATTTCTGTGATTGTGGAAAACAATCAAGTAGAATATTTTCCGAATTATTTGCCTTATTATTTAAAGTGATAAATTTATTTTTCTCTGAATATTTATACGTTCTTGATTATTCTTTTGTTAAATGTACTTGATGCAGTTCAATGTCAACATAACCTCGAATTTGAAGAAAATGTAACTTTTTCTTTCAGGCGCTAAAGAAAAATCTCAATCTCCGCCGTTTAAATGCAAGCATGGTTGGCGATTCAATAGAAAATGAGAGTCGCTTCAATATTTTTAAACAAAAATATTAATTGTTGCAAGTTCCTGGCGCAATAATTTTGACGGTGACTACGAAGAAGTATTCGGTGACAATTACTGGAGAACAAATGGTGAGAAAGTTTTATTTATTTATTAAAAAAAAATGTTTAATCTACTTTTCAATATTTTCGTTATTGATATAAGCGATTTTTATATAATTTCGCTTTTATGAATTATTTCAATAAAAATAACTTTTTTCCGAACATTTTTTTAGTATTTTTAACAATGCTTTTCATTTATCGTAAAATAACAGTGTACTTTTATATTAAAATTTTAAAAATGGTTATTTAAATTTAATTTATTTGTTATATTTTCCATTATATTTTCAATAATTAGTGATGCTTTGTTTTACTTCAATTATTTTGAATAAAATTTGCAAATTATTATAAAACAAAAACATTGAAAGTCATATTAATTATTAAAAATAATATTCGTATTTGTTTGAATTAATATATTTAATATCTTGATGGTATTATACATAAAATCGTAATGGAAAAAAGAATTATAAAATATAAATTTATTTTGAAATATAATTTATAATTTATTTAATATAATATAATTTATAATTTATTCAAGCTTTCCTTGTCATTTGAAATGAATTTAGTTTCCGGTTTTATTATTACTTTCAATCAATATAAATTTTAATGTAAATTATTAATTGAATTCGTTCTAAGATATTGGTTTTATAAAATAAATATTAATGACACTATTGAAACTAAGTAGATTCGCAGTTGAGTTTAATAAAGTTCTTTGAAAGGAAGTGACAAATTTTTAATGAATATCGGCAATTAAATATTTAATTTTTATATTATAGATATCGTATGTATTGATTGAAAATGAGTTTTTAAAATATAATTCTTTTTTTCTAATTTAATACAAATTTTACATTTCGTAATTATTTAATTAAATAATATTATAATATTGATAATACTCTTTTTTAATATGCACAATTTTTTTCATTAATTTGCAGAAAAAACTTGTCCTTTGTTGTCGAATGAAGTCACTTTCAAGATGTGTTAAATCATAATTATTAAAATGATAATTATTATTCTTGAGTCAACGGAATCCAATCAAGTGCATATATTTCTTGAAAAAAATCTCATTATGGAAGTGTGATTGGATGGAAATTGAAGCGAGAATGACTTTCAATTAATCGAGTGAGTAATCATAATTAAGAAAATTTATTTTTTTGTGTCATAAAAATAGAAATTAGATAAAGTTTACAAGAAAATGAAAAGTTTCATTTCTTTAAAATGTCTTATAAATATTAATTTAAATATAAAAAGATACTAAATTTATTATTTCTTATGCATCATTCGAGGTGCGTCTCATAGAAAAGTGAGATAATCAGTGATTTAGCAGATTTTATTAGAAGAAAAAAAAATTGTCAAAGTTTATAAAGTTTATAACTTTTTTTTATTTTGATATTTATAAAATTTATTACTTACGTAGACTTTTGAATTGATTTTTTGCAATTAAATTACGATTCTTTTTAAATAACTAACAAGAATGAATTATTTAATATTATTTAATTATTTCAAAAGTTTTAACGCAATTATCTCAATAAATAACAAAATTCTTCACAGAAATTCAATTATTTTTAGGAATTTAAATAAAATTCTTTGCAAAATCCAATTATTTTTAAATTAATTATTCAATAAAATAATAAAATTAGTTGCAATAATTCAATTATTTTCATAAATAATTTTTAATTCGTCGTAGAAAATCAATTATTTTCAAAATTTTTTAAGTAATTCTGCAAAAGAATTCAATTATCTTGATAAACAACAAAATTCTTCCAATAAAATCAATTATTTTAAGGAATTTTAATAAAATTTTTTCCCAAAATTCAATTATTTTGATAAATATTAATATTCATCAGAAGAATTCAATTCTTTAGAAAAATAGTAAAATGCTTTGCAGAAATTAAACTATTTTCAAAATTTCTTAAAAATTCTCGTCAAGAATTAAATTATCTTTATAAATAGATAGCGAAATTCTTCTCCAGAATTAAATTATTGTCAAAAATTTTAATAAAATTCTTGGCAAAATTTCAATTATTTAAACAAAATTTAATAAAATTCTTTGCATGAATTCAATTATTTATATAAATTATTATTTAAATTCTTCTCAGGAATTCAATTATTTTTAAAATTTTTTAATAAAATTCTTCAAAAAGTTTTCAATTATTTTCAAAAATTGTTATAAAATTCTTTTATACAATAAATTTCAGTAAGATTTTAATTTAATTTCTTTAAAAACATTAAATATTTTCAAAAGTTGTTAATAAAATTCTTCGTAAAAATTAAATTGCAAGTTTTTATTTTCTAATATATATTTAACTGAAGATTTTTCAAATAATCGAAATTTCATAAAATTGAATTGTGAACAGATGGATTTGAAAATTGTCAAAGAACTTTTTCAAAAATTATTAAAAATAATTGATTTGAAGAAGAATTATTGTAGTTGAAAATTCTAGAAAATTTTTATTGAATTGAAATGATGAAAATAATTTTGACGAAGTTAAAGTAAAAATTATTCTTTTATAATATAAATTTTTGTGGCAACTCTGAATTAATAATCAAGAAATACACTGAAAAAAATTTTTTTTGATTCAAGTAACCGATTAATTGTCTATTATCAATTAAATATTTACTTGAATCAAATAATATTTATTGGAGTCAATTAAATGGTATTTGAACCAATAATTTCAGTATTTGAAGCAAATATGAACAACTAAACCATTTAATTGACTCCAATAAATATTATTTGATTCAATTAAATATTTAATTGATAATAGTCAAGTAATCGGTTATTTGAATCAAACAAATTTTTTTCAGTAAATTAATCAATTTATTAATTTATTTCTAATATTTTTTGTTCTATTTAATTGATTTATGGCTTATTATTTTAATATATAACTCTTTATGTTTTAGATGGCGTTTAAAAATTGAAGACTAGAAAAATACGCCAGATAGTTCCAGAAATTAAGTGCCTGAAGCATCTACAGGGTCTTCGTCTGGAAGAAAAAATCTCTAGGGAAGACAACGAGCTCCTTGACGAGGGAATCAGCGAACGGTGAGTGCTTTTTAATTTTTCAATTTATATCCATGATTCTTCACAATAAAATGGTTTCTGCCGTCATTGTACTTTAGATTTATTTCGCATAGTGGCAAGTGACATTTTTTTCAATTAGGTCAATTGGTTTCCCCAGAATCGTGTTTTTAATTTCTACACTCACAAAATTGATGAACAATTAGAAATTATTTCCCAAATATTTAGACATTTAATTAATATTAAAATAAATATCAAATTAATATTAAAATCATTATTTTAATTTTAAAATTAAAATAGCATTAAAATCAATACTTACTTTTAAAATTAAAATAATATTTAAATCAATACTTAATTTTTAAATTAAATTAATATTAATTTAATAAATTAAATAATAATTAATCAAACTATGAATAAATTTGTCCGTGTATTAATTATAAAAAGATTTTTGAATAACAAATTTTTTTAGAAAATATACCAAATAATATATTTTTTAAAAGAATAGAAATAAAAATTTAATTTTTCCAAATCTTGGAAAACTTTGGGAATAATTTTTAAAGGCTGCTCGTGAATAAACAATTACTTTATATTTAAAAAAAGTTTTTTTTAAAGACACATTTCCCGTGTAAACTTGTGTTAGTTCTTTTTATAGACACAAACTGGGTATATAAAGAATCGGTGGGAGTAACATATTGCTTCTCTAGACCTGATATTTTACACTGATAAAACTGATGTTGTTATCTGCAGCAAAGTTTCATGCCGGAACAAACTGACCTTTAAAGTTTGCAATTTTTCATTCAACGAGTTTATCAGCTATTACAAAAGTAATTAATGCATCGTTGCCAGAAAAAAAAGAAAACAACAACAACAAGAGTATATAGAGATTCAAAATTAAATGCCAAAAAATCTATAGAGAAATTGGTTCAATTAATAGAGCGCAGCACAAAATCAATATGGGGAATTAATTAAAATACATCTTTGTTTTTTTTTTTAAAGTTATTTACTCACTTGTTATTATGCTTTTTTTTTTGTTCGAAATTTGTTTTGCTCTTGATTATTAAGAGACATTTTTATGGACAATATAGTCGGGTACAAATAAAAAAAAAGAAAATAAAAACGGCATTTTTTCCCAATATTTGAACTTTTTGACGGTGTATTATTTGGAATTTTTTTTAAGTTGAAATATTTCAAATTTATAACAATTAGAATTATCAGATTATTACAAAAAATATGATTTACGTCATTTTCTGCTCGTCTCTCAATTTTTAATATTGAATTTAAATTCGTCTGTAAAATTTAAGTGAATTAAAAATTAGGTCACGTGAAAATTATTATTCTTATCTATTAAACAATTTTGTTGATATAGTTTGGATTACAATGAAAATCGGATAAGATTTAATAAGATTGCGATAATTGGAATTTATGAAAATTAGGTAGGATTCATTTGACGCCTTGAGAAATTCAATTGATAATTAATTCAATTGAACTGCTATAAATAATGTGTCACATAGTTTAAATTAATATGTTTTTAAATATAATAATTTGATTTTAAAGAAATTGTGTTAACAGAAATGTCGATAAATTAAAGTAAATTAAAATTGATGGAAAATGTTAAAAATAATTTAATCATGGCATATATTATACGATAATTGTCAATAATTTATATTTATTAAATATTAGTTTACATGGATTGATGGATAATTTGAAAAACTGTTGTTTATATTTAATTCATCAATTTGTCATGTCATATAAAGATAAATATTTACTTAACTGAATTTTGATTTGTTAACAAAATTTCTATTCAACCGAATTTCCATAGATTCGAATGTTTATTTAAAATATTATTGATTTTTATATTTCGAAATACAGCACTGAAAAAATAATCTATTTAACTTTAAAGGAATCCTTCTCCTTTAAGCGGATTTTTTAATTTTTATATTATATTCTGAATATTTTTAATATTTGGTTTTAATATTTATTTAAAAAGATTTTCTTTTAGGACAAAGGAAAAATCTTTTAAGTTATATCTTTTAATTCCTAAAAAAAATTAGTTTACTGTCAAAAGAAAACGAATTTGAAACAAACAGAATTAAATAGAATATTATTTTTTTATTAACTATTATTTATTACAATTAAAAAAGTATTTATTATTTATTATTGTTATGCAAATTACAAAATTTTTTATTTTCAAATATAAATTTTTTAAATAATTTCATAATCAAAATTAAAAAAATTCACTTATTAAGTATAAAATTAATTATTATTGTTCATATTTTCAAAAATTTGAATAAAATTTCACGAAAGAGTTGAATTATTTTCTAAAATTTTAATAAATCCTTCTAAACAATTCAATTATTTTTTTAAATAGTAAAATCTTTATAAAAATTTAATGATTTTTAAAACAATTTTAATTAATCAAAATAATAAACAGTTGTAAAATTTAAAACTATTGTTTTAAAATTCAACTTCTTTTGAAACATTTTAATTTTTTAAAAATTTAAGTTTATAATTAGTTATAAATAATATTTAAATAAAATTTTAATAGTTCAGAATAGTTTTAGATTCTATTTATTTTTTATTATTCAAAACATTTTACAATTTGTTGCTTAAAATTATCCTTTGGCCGTATAAGGATTTCATTTGAAAAACAAAAAAAATTTTTTATTTTGCATAGAAATAAAAGTTTACTTGATTCAGATAACTGATTTCTTGTCTATTATATATCACATAAATATTTACTTGAATTAGGTAAATAATTTTTATTTAAGTCAATTAATTTGACTTAAATAAAATTTATTGGATTGAGTAAATATTTATTTGATTTGATTATTCGATTTTTATTTATTAGTTTGTTATTTGAATCAAATAAATTTTTTTTTAGTGTTGGATTTTTTTGTTCTTTTCAATAAACGTGTAACATTTTTTTTTAATAAAGATTCGTTTTACAATAAAATTATTAAAGGATTTGTTTTGGAAGATAATTAATTTTATGTTCAATAGATTATTTTTCTCGGTGCGTAATGATAAGTAGGTAGTAATTTTGATTCTAAATACTTTTGAAATAAAAATAAAATTCAAAATTTACTTATTACTTCTTGTTTCGTGAAAAAAACGTTTTAACGAGCTGTTAAATGCGAAATAAAAAAGGCGTCAATTAAAAATTATTTTTAACTAAACTACGCAAGGAGAATTTCTGAGTAATTATTATTTATTTAGAAAAAAAAATACATGGGAAACTTAATATTTATTCATGCATAGAGTAAAAAATAGGTGCTTTAAATATGCAAGGGAAAAAAATGCCTCTTTAATAAAGTCTAGTGCTCCACTAAAGAGTCGATACTTAATTAACGCTAATTTAAAAATAAATTTAGCGGTGCAGTTATTACCGGGAAGATCGTTCCCTTTTAAAGTGGTTCATTACTTGCTTTAAATCACCGCGTACTTGTGGTTTCTGCGCGTGTTTTTAAATTTTCCTTTTTTAACACCGCACTTTTCTTTGCGACTTTATAAACCCCCCTCCCCTCCTCTTTCAAGGGAAGAAACGATTCTTGTCGCGAATATAATGAAATTCACTAGTTTTCATCGTCATCCTCTTATATAAATATATATTTTCTCTCTTTGAGCGAGATAGAGAAAGAGTGGGAGGAACAAAACTGATCCCAACAATGTCTGTCTGAATTTTAAAAGGCGAGATACTTTACGCTAAGAGCATTTGGAAAATGGTTTTGTCGGGTGTATTTGAAAGGTGAGGCTTTTATTGAAAACCAATATACGTATATAGAGAGAGAGTGAACGAGGGTAGGCTAAATTCTGGCAAGCGCCATCGGAAGCCTAATTAATGTTAATTAGTTTAAGTGTCCAGACCAGCAATTCGACTAATTATTTAATTACAAGTTCTTTTCTTTCGTTCTTTCTTTATTTTTTTCCCTCTTGTTTTCGCACCTTCTATATACCGTTTTCTTGTTAATCACTTTTTTTTTCTCACTGGCTCGAGGCTGTGATCTAATTATTTTCATGCAAACCCTACCTTTATACTGCTCTTTAGAGTCCCCCCGCTAACCCTATACCTGCCATCGTCATGGCTTTGTTACTTTCTGCCTCTCGAGTGCTTGAAGCTACTTGGGGAAAAAACATTTGATGTGAGCTGAATTCTTATATATAGTGGAAAGCGGGAGTGTTCTTCGTTCATTGGTGAGGGAAGCTATTTTGAATTCAGAGGGAGATTCTTGAGACGGGATGAATTGACGTGTGTTTGATAGTATACGCACCGAGTATAATTGATGAGTTTGTTCTTTGATAAAATAAGGTGATGAATTCATTAAGTAGGTAGTAAATAATTTTTTTCGGAATTGTAAGTTGAGTGATATGCAAATCTGTTTGCTTGATTTGTTTTCGAAGGAGGTTTTTTTCAATTTGTCATCAGGAGAATTGTTATTGATTTCTAGGAAAATTGGAACAATGATTAAAATTATTAATATTAATTCTTTTTTAATTAATTAAACAAATTTTTTTTAGAAAAATTAGAAAATCATAGTTAGAGAGTCCTGTTTTACTTAATCTCCTTTTTTATCCCACATTCCTAAGGCGATATCAAATTGAGACAAAAAACAAATCAAAATGTTGCTTCGCAACACTTTTGATTCGTTTTTTTTTGTCTCAATTTGATATCCTTAGAAAAAATTAATATTTAGCCCCTAAAATTAATAAATTCCCCTAAACAGGGTGTTTACTAACCGGGCAAACCGGGCATTTTTTCACCAAATTAAAAAAAGTTTTATTATTTTAATTTGTTTTTAAAACATCGTTTTTTATTTCAATTTTTATAGGTATTTATACTGCTCTCTACAATTGAATTAGTTAAAAATAATTAATTTTATAGTAAAAAATCAGTCACTGGTTCAAATATAGTATATATATGTAAATAAATTTTTTAAAAAATTATTAAATTAAAAGAAATTTAGTAAAATTCAACTGAAAATAATTTTTGTTAAAGAATTTCATTAAAACACTTTTTAACGAA